GAAAGCAAGAAATTGCAAGTAGATAAATAGGTACCACTTCGGTGGGAAGGTAACAGCGTTCCGTGCACCTTGGTGTTTAGTCCTGCCGGCCACATGACCACGGAAACGTCTTTGGACAGCGCTGGCTCTTCGGCTTTGAAACGGAGATGAGCACCGCAACCCTAGAGTCAGATTCGACTGGCTTTCGAGCAAGGGAACCTTTACCTTTACCTTACTAAAAGAAGGGTACACATGGCACTCTTGGCCTGAACCCCTGATCTAAGCAGCCTGTTGGGAGTTCCATCTCAGTAGCTCCTCATCTTCTGTTTTTTAAAGTATCTTACCAGACAAAGGGGTGGGATTTACAAGCAGGGTAGGTACGGTTTTCCTGATCTGAAACACACACACACACACCGCCCCAGGAGGCACTATTAGACCAATTACACTCAATAGTACATCTGTGTTCTCCCCCTGGAGCAGATGGCTCATACTGGCGGCCAGTGCAAACCAGCAATGACTTTGAAAAACCCTTCCCTTCTGAGTGCAGTCCCAGTCCAAACTGGCCAACATTCATTGGTGACAACGTTGGGAGCTCCTGCCACAGAATGCCCAGGGTTTCACCTGGACAGGGCCTGAGGCTTTCTAGAAAACCAGTTCCTCCCCCAACTTTGTCTATTGTACCCTCGCACTCATGACTGGACCTTTCTCAGTGGTTTTCCACCTGTGGGTCACGCAAGAAGGATGGGGGGTGAGGAGGAACAGCAGCTCTCACACACATGAAGCTGCCTTACGCCGAATCACTGGTGGCCCATTCAAAGTTAGTACTGTCCAATGTTCCCCCTCAGCTCCACAGTGTTGTGAGCAAAAACAGCTAGTGGCATTGAAGTTGTGAGCGAGTCTACATTTGACGATCACAGACGTTAGTTTCTTAGATTGTTTCCACAAAGTAAAAATCTCAGAATGAATTATTTTAATCTATAGTTAAACTATATAACTATATAAACGATAATTTAAACATTATAAGAGGAAACAGAATCGTCAAACTTAATTACAGAAAATATTGTCCTCTATGGGGGTAGACCAGGCCTCCAGAGAACAGGTCTACCCTCCCCTTCCCACTGTATTGGTAGACCTGGCCTCCAGAGAACAGGTCAACTCACCCCAGTCCACAATATTGGTAGTCCTGGCCTCAGACCGTCACCCTGCACTGAGCCTTCGAAAACATACCAGCACTTGGGGGGGACGGGACTCTTGCAGTCTACTTTGGGTTGTTTTAGTGAAATATGACAAATTTACAGGTCAAGTATAACAGAGGTGGAACAATCACTGTCAAGAACCCTGCCTAACCTAACAAACAGGAAGTTGGTTAAATGTTATCAACCTGCCCAAATAACTTATTTACTCAAATATTTATATCTTACTGCGACTCAAGGTATCTTACAAATCATACTGAAAAGCATAATAGGGGTATGCAAAAAAAATATCTATTTTTTCCTACTCCATTATCGCCTATGGGGACCGTTATAGTCAATGGGCTATAATGAAGAATTGATCTCGGGGTATCTGCGTTCTGGGGAGCTGTTTTTTGGGGTAGAGGCACAAAATTTGCAGCATAGCTGCTGGTGCCTCTCTTCAAAAACCCCCGCAAGTTTCAAAAAGATTGGACCAGGGGGTCCAATTCTATGGGCCCCAGAATGAGGTGCTACCATCCGCATCGTTTCCTATGGAAGTTTGGTTGTGAGCAGAGCAAAAATCCTGGGCCAGGCTCTGAAATGTTGTGCACCAGCACCGCCTAGCGCAGCTTAGAAGGAACGGTGGTACTGTCTACTCTGAGTGGCAGTAGATCTCCAAGGTCTCAGGCAGAGGCCTTTCACACACCCTGCTACCGGGTCGTTTTAGCTGGGGAGTGAACCTGGGACCTTCTGCATGCCATATAAAGGATCTGTCACTGAGCCACAGCTCCTTCGGCAAAGGGAGAAGAAAGCAAGGAGCTGCCCCATTGCCTCCTCCTCTGCTCCTTTGCCCTAGCTTAGAGAGGGACAGAGAGGGCCTGCCTACCCACTACTGAGCACAAGGGCAACCGTTCCGCATGCAGGTTCTTTGGTCGGCCTGAGCCCACTTCCCACGCCCATGCCACTGCTGGCTGAGTCCTAGCGGTGGCATCGGTCACCACTCAGCCCAACCTACCTCACAGGGGTGGTGTGCAAAAAAAAAATGAACAGGGAATAAACATGTATGCTGTCATGAGCTTCTTTGGAGGAAGGAGGAGAAATATTTTAGCCAGGCCTTGCTCAAGGCAACCAGCCCATCTTCACTCTGTCTGGCTTTCAGGTGTGAACAGATCCAGGTTCCTGGCACGCAGTGGAAAGGCAACACAACAGGCTCTGTCATGTCCCTCTCCCCGCCCTCCATCTTCCCTGCAAAACCCTGTTCCTTCAACCAACAACTGCTTCGTACTCTAAAACATCAGGTGTACAACCAGGAAGTAAAAAGTGCGCACCTAAAATATTTTTTAAAAATCTGCTTTCACATGCTTGTAAAATGGGAGCTCTAGACCACAGGCTCCTCAGGAAGGCATCGTAGGCTACAAGCCCTGCTCTGCATAGAACTGACAACAAACCTGAGCACGCCCCCGCCCGAACAAGGGACAGCCTCTTCCGCAGGGGGCACAGAACTTTACTCACAGGAGATGACAGGCCCGTGATTCAGAATATTCAGAATTAAGATTGTAGCTCTCGTCCGCTCATTGGCTATCAGGAACTTTACCAGGCCTTTGGCCTCCAGCTGGAAGGGAAAGTAACCTTTTCTACCTTTTCGCCAGTGGCTGCAGCTCCCCTTCCTTGTGTTTATTGTTTCTCTGTTTTGGATCCCGATCTCTGGCTGGATTTTATGGCAAAGTGGTCAGAGCAATTGCTATGGAGCCCCATAAGAATTCAAACTGTATTGGTGGAAAGAAACAAGACTACTGGGACACTACTGTTGTGCTTAATCACGGATGGGCTTGAAAGTACACGCCAGCGTGGAATCGAAAATCCAGGGGGAACCTCTGCTGTGCATAATCGTATCAACACCAAAATATAACTCGCAGCCTTGCAACAGATCCAACTATACATTTAATTAGAAGACACTTTCACACAAGGCTCACACGTAGTGTTGATTTGAGCCACGGTTCAAGAAAGCGTTCTTCTACTTGACACACAGAGGAAGTTTCCTGTTAGAGGACATGTCTCCCTTCAGCAGCTGGGGTTCCTCTCCCTCTCCAACGGGAAGTGCTCAGCCGAAACCCTCAGCAAGACAGCACAGACCTCATCAGCCGCCAACAAAAAGGCATCCAAACAGGGAACCTGCACATGTGGTCCGATGCCAGCCACAGACGACCAGACTTTTGCAGAAACAAGTCTTCCTTTAATAATAGCGAGTAATGTTGGGAAATCGTTGTAGAAGTCTGTTGACTTGTTTTGTGCCGAGGGTTCCTGATCGATCCAGGGACTCCTGAAGGACTTTCGCCTTGTGTTCCGCCTGAAAAAGAGCACACAGATCAGTGTGCGACACTTACGGGAACAGCAGGCTGCATCTCAGGGGCACTTTCCTACAGCACAAGAAATCCCCCCATGAGCTAGGAGTCACGTCTGCAGTCAGGAAAGCCTCTCGCATCGACAGAAGGGTTCCTTGCAGCAGAGGAAAGTGCTGCCATTGGTGGAAGTGACCCCTGGGAACCAGCCCAACACCTCAATGCTGGCAACACTATATCCAATCATAACAGCAGCAGCCACTTTCTAGACATTTAGAAACCAGATCTGTTTTTCGCGTGTTTGCTTCAGACAAGGCACTGCAGGATTCTGCTTTGGGAAGGGGGGGGGGGCGATGCCTGGTATGTTAAGGGGCCTCTCCCCCATCTTCCTACAGACACCAGAAAAGATGCTGCAAGAAATTAAAAACCTTTTAACCCACAAAGCACACAGGACTGCAGCACTACCCAGGAACAGGACTGGGCTGAAAAACCTGCCAGCCATTCGTGGTATGCTCAGGCAAACAGACAAGCACAGGCAGTACAGGCATTCCCTTAAAGGCATATCCTTCCTGAAGTCAACAACACACGGTCACATTTATAACCCACCTTTCTTCCAGAGCGAAGCTCAGAACGGATGATTATAAAAAATGCACCTATAACACCCCAAAGTGTTACTTTTGACTAAGTTGCTTGTCACCAATGTTCCCTCTAAGCTGTGGAGTCTTGTGAGCAAGAATTCTTTTTTGTGAGCTACTGGCATTAAAGTTGTGAGCAAGTGATTTGGCTACTGAATAAATTAGTTTGCTCTGGAGCCCCATCCCTTCCTGAGCTAGGACAAAAATGTGTGAGCCGGGGGCTAAAAAACTGTGAGCTAGTTCACACTAACTCATCTTAGAGGGAACACCGCTTGTCACTAAGCAAAGGAACAGCTGCCACAGAAAACAGAGGTTCTGCCACTGGGGAAACCACGTCGCCTTCCCTAACTGTATTTTAAACAGAGGCCAGTCCAGTTCCCAGCATCTCATCTAAGGCAGCTCCTGGTTTCCGCTCAACTGTCCTGCAGGGCTTTCCTCAGTCTAATTCATGCAGGAGCTTGCAACACCTTAACAACAGGCACATCATTATTCTAGCAAAAGCTTCCAGGGATTCACTTCATCCAATACATGACAGACACGAAATACCATGTCCATTCACTGGATGTTGGCGCCCACGTAGGGTGAGCTCACATGTTCAGCTTGATCGCATAATTCACCAGAGCGCTTTATCCCCTCTCATGTTGCCTACCCCTCACACATTTGTTCACTGGGACAGAGGATCTTCGGAGACCTACACAGGTTATCCTTGGATAACAGCAAGGGTCTGATTCAGTATAAGGCTGTTTCATCTGTTCAGGTGTTCAATGCCCAGGATCTCCGGAGACTTAGCAAAGGGTAAACCCCCTTTCACCTATACAGGTTATCCTTGGATAGCAGCACACAATGCCCAGGCCAAATAAAGGCCAACCCCAGGACAGAAGGAGGAGACTGGATTTATCCCCCCTGCCCTTCACTACCCGAAGGAGGAGTCTCAGAGCGGCTTACAATCTCCTTTCCCTCCCGCTCCCCACAACAGACACCCCCTGTGAGGTAGGTGGGGCTGAGAGAGCTCTCTCGAGGACTGCTCTGAAAGAACTTATGACTGACCCAACGTCACCCAGCAGCTGCATGTGGAGGAGGAGTGGGGAATCAAACCTGGTTCTCCCAGATTAGTCCGCGCTCCTAACCACTACACCAAACAGACAGGGGTGGCAGGAGTCTCGTTTGCGTTATCTGGCGAAACTCCTCTCCTGCAGTGCAGACACGGGATACACCAAGAATCGTAATTACTTCTGCTTTTGATGCGCAGTCAAGGAAGGCCTGGATCTCCCCGCTACAACTTGAGGAGTTGAACTCGTTCTGCTTCCAGCAGGCCATCATCAGAGACATCTCCGTGACGCAGGTGGCCTCTGCCAACAAAGGAAACGGCCGTTACTCGGGAGTATTAGATATCTGTGTCCACTCGACTGCAGGGGTCTCAGAAAGAAGACTCACGGCCAGGTGAACCAGAGAGTGGCCAGGCATCCGTGGCAAATCCTGGTAGCACCACCTCCCCTTGGAACCCAAAGCTTCACGTCCAGTTGTCGGTCTTAATTCTTTGTGCCTGTGCAGAACTGGGTTCCTGAGGAGGAGGACGACAGACATGTTGGCCACCTGCCTCTGCTCAACTATCAACCTGCTTGCCCAAAAGGAGCAGCTTCTCTCACCTAGGGGGGACGCAGCCATCGCAACGCACTCCACAAAGACAAATGCCTTTTCCAGCATCCACCCACTTCATCAGGCCAGGAACAGAATGTCACACGTCAATTTTAAGGGCTGTTCAGTGGGCTGAAACCTGACAAGCCATTGTTTGTGACTGGCCAGTAAACCCAACAAGAACAGATACACAGAACTCTAACGTTCGACAGACTAAAGCAAGATGCAGTTTGCTACTGGATCATTGACACACTACATAATAATAGGCAATTTAGCTCAAACAGAATCAAACTAGTGCTCAGTATATATGGTGTTACATACCAGAGTACATGCCACAGATGAAGATAATTAGTTGAAACAGATGAGACTTTTCTAGAAATCCACTGAGCACTTGTATTGAAATTGTATGTGGACCACTTGATGTATCAACCGGAGTACTGAATGCTTACTTGATACTGTTTGTATTGTCTATTATTTATTTCATGTAGTGTGTCTCCCATATAGTAGCAAACTAAATCTTGCGTTAGCCCTCAGTTTCCTTCATTCCTGTTCTGTTTATTGGGACTAGTCTTTTTGGCCACAATCAAAAGCTGCCATTTAGGGAGCTTCTATGCCAGACGTTGAGCTAACTGTGGTCAGGTGGGATGTCTGAACTGGGAAATCCAAAATGGCTGTGGTGGCACAGTCTCCAAAGGAGAACACCCCAAGAGATTATGGCAATGAATTTTCAAACATTTATTTAAGTGAGGCACTTTTTGTACCCAATCAATATGCTATAATGTGTACAATATTGAAGAGTTCAATGTTTTCAATGTTATAAAGTTTAACTCAGTATCCAAATAGTCTGCTAACCCTACTATAGCCACACGAGAGTGAGCAAACTTTCACCTACTGTCTCCCTCCTCCTTTGGTAGCCCAGGATGTTCCTAGAGATGCTGCTATTAGAGGACAGGGGGCACACACACCCCGAAACAGCAAGTTCGGAGGTCTGGGAATCAGCAGAAACCAATCAATCTCGGACACACAAACATTTGCAAGCGTTCTCCGTGGCATACAATCCATAGTTTGCAGCTCACTTGCTCTCTGTTATTGGGTTTTAAAATATCTTATATGTGTTCCTAACAAAGATAAAATTATTATGTTGCAGATGCTTAAGAACATAAGAACATAAGAACATAAGAGACGCCAATGTTGGATCAGGCCAAAGGCCCATCCAGTCCAACACTCTGTGTCACACAGTGGCCAGAAATACCAGTGCCATCATGGTGTTATACATATTCTAAAAATTGCATTTTTGTGTACTACAGAATATCTCCTGAAGAAGATTCATTTTTTGAAAAGTTGGTAAATAATCCGGAGACGATGTTGTACCTTGGTTTATAAATTCTATTAAGTTGTGTATCATATTGTAATGCTTCAGAGCACAATACATGTACAGCAATTCTTATAAGTCTTATGACTGTTGATTGCGGGTCAGACTATCACGACTGTTGGCTTTATATTTGTTTATCTATTGGGTTTTAAATGTCATAAATATGCCAAACAGTACAATTTCATATCCTAACTTTTAATGTGTTTTTGCAGTAAAAACAGTAAAACAAGTTTAAGCTTGATAAGGAATTCTTCTCAAAGAGGCTCCCCCCAAATAAAAAAGGTGTTCCCCCCAAGTTTCAAAAAAGAAAAGAAAAAGTCTCTCTAGAGCTACCATATCACACTGTGAGCAGGCGCCGTTGATTTTTGGCTCCCAGCTGAAATTTTGTACTTAGGACAGCTAATTTCTGGATGCAAAAGAAAATACATACACATTGTCTATTTTTCAGAAAGCTACTGAACTCTTTCAATTCTGTTTTCTTTAGGGCTTCCCATCTGAGTTAGTGAAGAATCTGAAAGTTCTCTATAGGGAGTGCTGTGGAGGAAAAGTCTATGTAACCTGCAGTGGGGCTAAGAGGTAAGCAAGCAGGCGAGGCACCCAGAACCCCTGAACAATGGAGATTCCTGCAAACGCCGTGTCCCTGTCATCTTGTAACTTTTTTTTTTTGCCAGAAAAAAACCCAGATTCTCAGAAGCCCACATCAAGTTTTTCAGATTTTCTCAGAGTTCAGACAGACGGAAACATAGAAAATGAACAGCCCTGACCGGAACAAAAACACTGCTTTCTTCGTCTGGCTGCCAGAGAGAATATTTACTACATCCAACGCATGGTATCCCGTGTCCCCCCCCCTTTTTTCCTCTTATTTCAATTTTATAAATATTGAGGGAGCCATCAGCATGTTCTGCAATGTTCCAGGCTCTGGAATTTATTCCCCCTGGCTCCGAGCCGCAGATGAAGTCTCCAGGACTCCAGGGCACGATGCGTGCTTCAGTTCTTCCGCCAAACAGTTTTATTCCATCTTTCTTTGCGTGTGTGCGCCCACTCACGCAAGGGTGTGGCACTGTCTCAATGACTGATGCGACAATTCAAACATTGCTATAAAATCTGAGCCAGTTTCAGTCTATCATGTTGTTGTTGTTCAGTCGCACAGCCGAGTCCGACTCTTCGTGACCCCATGGACCAGATCACGCCAGGCCTTCCTGTCTTCCGCCGTCCTCTGGAGTTGGCTCAATTTCATGTTCGTTGCATCTATGACACTGTCTCACCATCTCATCCTTTGCCGTCCCCGTCTTCTTTGACTTTCAATCATACACCTTATCATACACACACATATATCAGCTGAATGCGCCATATAATGCATTCCATTCAATTCTATCACGAGCCTTCCTCAAAAGTAATGAACTTTGTATGGGAAACAGACAATTGATAGAGATTAGCTGTTTGGATGGCTAGGGAGAACAGAGAGGAACGAATTCCAGCATACCCTCTTACTCCCAAACTATTAATTGTTGTGCTTACAGAGTTCTGCATACAAGAAGAAGAGTTGGTTTTTAATACCCCACTTTTCTCTACCCAAAGGAGTCTCAAAGTGGCTTACAATCACCTTCCCCTCCTCTTCCCACAAGAGACGTCCTGTGAGGTAGGTGGGGCTGAGTTCAGAGAGAACTGTGACAGACCCAAGGTCACCCAGCTGGCTTCACATAGAGGAGGAATCAAACCTGGTTCTCCAGATTAGAGTCTGCTGCTCTTAACTGCTACACCACACAGGCTCTCAGCTCTTGTGCCTGGACCATGTGTGCCTGGACTGACCATCTCCTCCGGTACTGTCCACCCAAACCTTGCTCCCTGTGCCCCAGTTGATAGGCAGGTGGCAACCAAAGGCAGAGCATTTTCTCTGGGGGCACCTCACCTATGGAAAGCCTTCCCCCCCCCTTCAGGCTTACCGGATGCCTACCATACTGTCTAAGAGGCTCCGGGTCAAAGTATTTCTTTATATATCCAGGCTTTTGTCTAAAGGTTTTATCTTTTTAGTTCTTTTATAGTCCAATCCTGGTCTAAAGTCTGTTTTAAGGAGATTTTTAAACACTGCTCAGGGGCTGTTCTGTTTTCAGTAGTTTCGTTTTTACATCGATCATTTCTGTTCTTATGATTTTGTGCTTTCTTTTTTTATAAACCTGCAAGCTACAAGCAGTATGCTGAAGAGGCAGCACAGAAGTTTCCTAAATAGAGACCACATGCGCAGAATGTCCATTTCGAATTCCAGAGACAGCTCCCGGCTGCATCAAAGCTGTGTGTCACCACTGAATCATTTCTGTACGTGGCAAGACCCCAAATTCACTACCTTGCCACAGTGACGGTCCCACACCCAGGGCTATTTTTGGGCAGGAACGCACAGGAACGGAGTTCCGGCTGACTCCCAAGTTGGCCATGCCCAGCAGGAACTCATTAGCATAATAGGCCACACCCAACAGCAGAAACTCACTAGGACTGGCTACATTAGGGGTGTGCGGCCTAACATGCAAAGGAGTTCCTGCTCCAAAAAAAGGCCCTGGGTTTCGACAACAAACAAGGTAAACAGAATAACAAGCAAAAGGTGGGTGTGGCTGGATGACCACACTTCTGGTAACATGGGGGTGCGGCCTAATGTGCTAATAAGCTGTGCTGTCAGGGGTGTGGCTTAATAGGCTAATGAGTTTCTGATATTGGGTGTGGCCAATTATGCTAATGATTTCCTGCTGGGCTTTTTCTACAAAAGAAGCCCTGCCCACACCTATTCATATTAACAAATGAAAAAAGGATCCACAGTCAAAGAAAGCACTGTGGGAGACCTTGTGGTAAGTGTACCGTGCAAATGGCTCCCTAAGACAGAAGTAGTACAAACTGACTTCCTGGGAAGAAATAGCTTCACACCTGGTATTTGCATATCGTGTGAGAACCTAGCCAAACAAGCAGGTGTCTATGTGCACTGTATGGAAAACACAAAAATTATTTCACCAAGGTTCATAACCAGGGAGTGTAGGACAACAGCTCTCGACAGAAGCACAAACAAGATGAAGTCCACATAAAATTAAAACACTGCACGGCAACAAAAACCTTGGGAAGGGATTAGACGTACCACAGTAAAATAAGATTTGGGTGTCCGCTGGGTCTTCCTAAGAAGGCTCTGCTATTGGCTCACAGTACAATCCTGTTCAGATGGATTAAGAAGCTAACCTCGTGGAGTTCAGTGGGACTTAACTTGCAAACAGCAGTTTATAGGATTGCAGCCCGAATCCTCAACGTCTGACATATGACAGTGGCCAGTATACAGGCAACAGTTCCACAACAGCCATCACTCAGTGG